GCTGCCCCGCGTGCTCCGCGGCGATGAGATGCCTGCTCGCCCCTTTGTCCCCGCAGGCTTCGCGCCCTTTGGCAAGGTGATCCGCGGCATGCACGTGGTTGACAGCATCCATGCCGGGTATGGCGAGGAGCCCAACCAGGCAAGGATCCAAACTGAGGGCAACGCCTACCTCAAGAAGCAATTCCCCAAGCTCTCGTACATCAAGGCGGCGTATCTTGTAGAAGGCGTCGAGGTGGTGGACCCGTCCCCGCCAAAGGCCCTAGAGGAAGGCGAGGAGCTTGTAGCTCGAGCTGGCGCCGGCCTGGCAAGCAGAATGACCCACAGCCACGCCAAGTTCGAGCTGTGACCGGGCCCTCCCACGCCCCGTGGGGGGCGAGCCAACGGCGAGGCTCTTTCATGGGAGGTGGGCGGGGGAGCGGCGGCAGGCGGGACAGGCTGGCGGGAGGGGCGGAGGAGGTGAGCGAGTGGGCAAAGCACCGACGCCGCCAGTAGCGCGACGTCGCCGACGGCGGTGCCGTCGAGGTGGAGGGAGCGGAGGCGCGGCATCGGGAGGAGGAAGCCGGTCGCCTGGTCGCCCACCGAGGCGCACCCGCGCAGCGAGACAAGCTCGAGCCGATGCAGCGAGCGGAGCGCGCGCAGCGCCGACGTCGGCAGCGCGACGCAGCCCTCGACCCGGAGCGAGCGGAGGCTGTCGAGGGAGGAGAGCGGGTCGAGCGCGCCGCCGCCCACGAGCGGGAGCGCGTCCAGCCGCAGCGACGTCAGCCGCCGCGGGACGTCGTGGCACGCCACCGTCTTGAGCGCGCCCAGCGCCCGCTCCGCCCAATCCCCGTCTCGCTCAGGACGCACGCCGGCGCCACCCTCGCCGCCAAGGACGGCCAGCGCCGATGGCGGCGGGCCGAGCAGCAGCCGCTCCAGCTCCTCCGCGACCGCCTCGGGCCGACCGGACGCCGCGGATCGAGATGTAGCCAAGGATATGACCGCGGCGTCATCTCGCTCGAGCGCATCGAGGAAGTCCAACGCGGCGGCCGCGCTCGCCTCCTGCGGCTCAGCGGCGGAGGTCGCGTCAACCGCCTCTTTCCAAGGCCTCACCGGCGGAGATCGACTGCGGTCGCGGGCGGAGAGGGCGCGCTCGGACTCATGGGCGTTGTCCGCCATACACACAACGACTCACGGGGCTTCGAATTCTTTTTTCGCGAATTATTTTCACTCATTAATTCCTTAATTGCGTACCGTATTCCGGGTAATCTTAATTATTAATCATCGGGCGGGGCGCGGCGCGGCGGCTGCGCGAGGCGGCGGCGCGGCGCGGCGGCGGGCGGGGCGGAGCGGGGCGGCGCGACCACATCTGTCCTGACCGGGGCCTCTGGTCTTTGATGCGGAACAATGGTGGCGCTGCCCTCGACTCACGGGGCTGCCTTCCACCGTCGCTGCTCAGGCCGGGGGAGGGGGGGAAACCTCCTGTTCCTCGCGGAACGGGAGCAGGTCCCTCCTTGCCCGGTCTGCGAAGCAGGGCGGTGGTCGTGCCATCTTTGCTTCAAAACGACCACGCCGCAATCGTCGCCGGCGCGCGACACGTTTCCGTTGGCGGGACTGTCCTGGTCGAGAGTGTGTGCCGCTGAGGCGGGACCACTCGGGGACAGTGCTGACGGGACGCGGCTCGAAGGGCGTGGCTCCGCAGCGCGGCTGGCACTCGTCGCAGAGGCCTCACCTTCGAAAAGTCGGGCATGGCTCCACCCGCAACTTTGTCGCTAACACGCGCGCACAGCCGAGCCTGCGGCGGGCGCGCTGCGGCCGCACGTCTACTTCGTCATAGTGCCACGACGTGCGGCCTAGATTTAGCCCACGCGCTCAACTTGCATACGCTCATACATTGGACTGTCATCGCCTGTGAGTGCGAGATAGGGTTAGCGGTAGGCCGCTAGCCCGTGAGGAGAGCGTCCATAGACACCTCACTTAGACCCCACACACGGTCTCGTCCGTGCCTCGCGGGCCGGTGAGATTGCTAGAGGTGGAGCAAACTGCTCTAGCCTCACATATCACTTCCTGTCGTCTGTTGTTTGAGTTGTTTGAGTTGTGCCCTTGTTTGTGCCCTTGGCACCGTGGAGTGCTGGGGGGGGCGACAGGGAGGATGTGGCCCTGAGTTATGTGTACGCCGACTCAGGGTGTGTGGCAGCCAGCTGGCTGTGTGTCTTGTGAGCTTGTTTGTGTCTGTGTGTCGCTCGTGCGTGTCGTCATCATCTGTCTAGCGTCCACCCATACCGCGTTGGTGTCCAGTCCGAGCCTGGCTGTTCTTCACCTTACTACCTACCTACCTACTTTGACTAGTCCGGCCGCGGTCGGCGGAGTGATTCTGAGATCAGGTTGGGCGACTGGCAGACATTTCAAAAATTTGGCGCCGCAGGCGCCCGCTGCGTGCCCACCATGGTTGGGCGCGCAGCGAAGAAAATTTTGCGCTCTCGACAGCCTTTTCTAATAGGAAAATGGCCTCTACTCGGCGCCATACCGCTTGTCGGCGCACAGCGGAGTTCGCAAGCCGGACCTGCTGCCTTCCCTTCTACGTACACTTTCACCTTTCAGAATGGAGGCTCAAACGCAGCGCACAGCGCAGGGCTCAGACCAAGTGCAAGTCGATTTGTACCAAAGTTGGTAGACAGTGCCAAAACCGCGGAACCGAAAATGGCGTTTAATTTCGCGCACCTGCTGTCCGCCGCCTGTGGCGGCGCTCCGCACCGCTTGAGGCGCCTGCGGCGCCCCTGGCGGCGCGCTGTCCGCGCGCCCCTCTGTGGTTTTCGCGGGGGGCTCGGCTCGTAAGTCTCGATTTGTACCGGATTTCGACGTTAGTGGCAAAACTGCGGAACCGAAAATGGCGTTTAATTTTGCGCACCTGCTGTCCGCCGCCTGCGGCGGCGCTCCGCGCCGCTTGGGGCGCCTGCGGCGCCCCCCTGGCAGGGTGGCGGCAGTGTGTACGGCGCTGCGGGTGCGCCCAGTAGCAGTACACAACCGGCGCTCTATGGCGTGCTCCGGGGGAGCACGACTACGCAGTCGTGGCTTCCACACGCGAGAGAGTGGCTTCTATATTTACGAAAACATTGGGCGTCCCTAGTGCCGCATCCATAAGAAGTGACGTCACGGTTCCAGGAGCGCTGGCGGCACAGCTTAGAGTGGCAGCCGAGCGCCGGCCACGACTATCGAGTCGCCGTCGCGGAGCTGAGGGGACGGGTCTTCCTCCCAGCGCCACCCATCGGTCAGCCCTCAGATCGATCGATCGGCGCTCAAAGTCGCTTCAGATCCGAGAAAGCTGCTGGCGCCGCTGCCGATCCCAGCCGCGACGCCAGCAGCTTCCTCTGCTCTCCAATGCGCCGAGAAGCGACGCGGCGGTGCTCGGCTCGCCATGCACGATGACGGCTCCGCTGGGTGCTCGTCGGCCGGTCCGGTGGCACCCTATTCGCGCGTCACCTGCCGGCGTCCCGACGACAGCCTCGCGCCGCCGCTGATGGAGGGGCGGTCGGCGCCGCTGCCGCCGCGCCGCCGGTGGGAGAGGCACTGGTGGTGGCCTGGGCGGCCCTCCGCCGCCGCTCGGCGCGCCCGGGCAGCGGTGGCAGCCTGCGCCGCCACAGCTTCGAGCGGGCGCCCCCAGCTTCGAGCGGGCGCCCCCAGCTTCCAGCGGGCGCCCGGGACGGGTTCCCCGCTTCGAGCGGGGAGATGCGGCCGGGGATTCGCTTTCTGAAATGTCTGCCTCCAAAGGGGAAACGCCCAACCTGATCTCAGAATCACTCGGCGGAGATGGCTAGAGGACGAGCAAGACTGCTCCAGCCTCACGCGCTCGCCCCTGTCGTCTGTTGTGTTGTTGTGCCCTTGTTTGTTTCTCTTGGCACCTTGGAGTGCTGGGGGGGGCGACAGGGGGGGCGTGGCCCTGAGTTATGTGTACGCCAACTCAGGGTGTGTGGCAGCCAGCTGGCTGTGTGTCTTGTGAGCTTGTTTGTGTCTGTGTGTCGTTCGTGCGTGTCGTCATCATCTGTGTGTCGTTCGTGCGTGTCGTCATCATCTGTTTCGCGTCCACCCATACCGCGTTGGAGAGAGAGAGAGAGAGACTCTCTTCTTCTTCCGCGTTGGTGTCCAGTCCGAGCCTGACTGTTGGAGCACTTGGAGTGCAGTTATCAACCTCACATCCATTCATACATACATTTTGATGTTTGTCTGTGTAGTGCTAGCACGCGCCAGTCCGCACCTGTGTCGAGCCTGAAAAGAAAGAAAGAAAACACACAACCCAAGGGAGGGATGGGAGAACGGCACGCCGCCACCACACAGGGATTTTAAGGAGAGGAGTGTGGTGCGCTAGCCGTCGCCCACCCTGGGGAGTCTGCCTCTTCGTATCTCTTTTCGCAGTCTCTCGCCGCTTCTCGCTGCAACCTTCATGCCACCTCGCGGCCGTCCCACTCTCGTCGGTCTCTCCCTTGTCACTTCCTCCTCTGTCGCGTCGTTCTCTTCTGCCTCGTCCTGCGACGCCGCCGCCTGCCGGTCCCTTGTTGTGTCGAGCCTGTCCGAATCTCGCGCTTACATATTTTTCTTTTTCATTCCGGGGGGCCAACCTTCCGCCGCCGGCTTGCGCCGTGCACCCACACGTTCTCCTCACCACCACCTTCACTCAACTGCATCCTACGCGTGGCATGGGCTTTCTCGTCCTGATCGGGCTCGTCACCGCGCTCGCGTGGGCCGCGTGGAGCATCTCGCACTACGCCGAGTCGCAGATCTTTGCCGACCCGACTGAGCGGTGGGTGCTGCTGCTGTGCGGCCTGGCGTACCTGCTCGCCGCGCTGCCGATCGTGCTGCTGCCGATCGACGTGGCGTCACTCGAGCACAACGACGGCTGCGGCGCCGAGCGCTCCAGCCTCGTCTCGCCGCTGCAGCTCGCGTGGTACCCCGTGTACGTCGGCACGCTCACCGTCGGCTTTGTGACCAACGACTTCGCGCGGTCCTACGTCGAGTGCGGCGCCA